AACAATAAAATGTTCTTCTCTTGGCATCAGTATATGTGGCTTCCATTGTCTTAGAGAACACCCCCCATTTTGGGGGGGGGGGGTACTTCCCAATCTAGCCTACAACCTTAGAATTCCTTGGAAGGGTCCCATTAAGTATTCACCCAACCCAAACTTGGTTAGCTTCCAAATCCAGTCAAGAGTTACCAGGTGCTGTCAACTGCTAGGTATATACAAAACATTTTATTGTTCAAGCCAATGTCTGCATAACCAACATGCCAAATTGCAGAATTTAGTGCTGTCCAAAAATCTTAACTTAGAAGTCTCTGTCCCCGTCGTATTTTCAAACAATCCAGTTGAAAGCCTAAATTCTCTGCAAATATGTATTTGGACCACTTTTTGAAATCAATTTTTTTTCTTAGGGAAAATAAGAAATGTTTCATAAGTTTTTAAAGGACAAAGATGACTTTGATTTTTTTTAAATCTCTGTTAATGAGATTAAACATTAACATTATCCTAGTTAACGTTTTAATGCTGCCATTACCATTAATACCTTCCCTGGATGTTGGAGAAATTCTCAATTACAACAGCTGTAGTTTTAGTTTTAATGAATTTAATCATTAGAAAACTCCTATTGATAAGGGAAATATATGCGGCAAAAGAAAAACTACTGAAGTCCTTCCACATGGTAGAAGCATAAACCATATTTTTTTAGTCTGTTGACTACTGGGGACATTAGGAGAACAGATCGAAATCAAAGCAACTTCTTCTTTTTACCTCTCTTTTTTCTCTGCTCTCTCCTCATTGGAAGTTGAAGCAGGTTTTTGGTTCATCCTGCTTTGTGTCATAAGAGAACAGTTGCTTTCCCTCTACCAAGATAATGTTCAGAGATACATACTTTTCTTAATGCGGTATATAGCTTCCTCCGCATATATATTTAGCTGTTCTTTTGGATCTTATGCATCTGTCACCAGAAATTCTTAATAGGCTTGGTTTTACTGGTTCATGTATTTTGCTACATATTGGACCCAAGTGAGTGAATTGAAAGATTCCAATCTGGTTTTCTCAGTTTATTCCCTACACTATTAGGCAGCATTTTAAAAAAAATCTAGCTATCTGTTGCTTCAATTAAAAAGACATCTCTAGATGACCTACACATTAGGATTAAAGAGAACAAATGATACCCAAAGATACATTGGGGAAAACCAAAGGGAGTTCATATGAGATTTTGTATTTGGATCAATGTGGGGGCTTGTATGTATGCTTACATAGAAAGAGCAGTATAAAATTCTGGATTGTACTCTATGGATTGTTGCCTTATCACAGCATTTGTCTGAACAACTGCATTAGATATGGTGTTTACAACCACAGCACAATCTTGACAAGTATATCTTCAAGCATCTGTTGCCTAAATAAATTCTTCTTTTTCCAATTAAACTGACTGACACTATAACACATCTGCTATGAAGCTAAACATTATGAATAATTAACTGCATTCCAAACTATCAGAAAATTGTCCAAGGAAGGACAGTGCTTTGAATGCCTGTGATCAGCAGGATATCTCACAAAAGAGCTATGGATGCAAAGACAGAGCTGTGGATATATTTAACTGCTTCATAAATCTCTAATTCTATTTTGTACCACTTAATAATAAAAAAGATCATGGGTCAATTTTACCTTTATAGTCTGTTCTCAAGCTAAGTATAGTGGAATTCTGCCCTGAGGAAATTATACAATTACATATTTGGCATAGCTTGGCCATACATTTCCTTGTTCAGCTTTAGGTCAAACCAAATTCAGGATATAATTCCAACAGAATCTTTCTATGCATATTTCAAAAGAACATTAGAAAAGGAATTGATGGAAGAGAAATGAAGACAAAAAGTTTGGATCCATCATTTTGTGCAAAAATTGCATCTTGCTAAGCAAAATTAAAACTCTCCATGTGATTAGGAAACTGATCCCAATGGAGATATGTTTGTGGTTTGTTATCCCATGAAATATTGTGAGCACGTGCAACAAACAAGTTTGGGTGTAGTATAGATGTTACTTATCAGTATGAGGAATGCCCACAGTTTCTTTTAGCATTTTAGAAGGCTGTATTTATGATTATACTTTCATCTATTGCCCTGGAAATGCCCACTGTATATTGACATAAGTTCCAGCTTACTACTTTCTGTCATTGAAAGGATGTTAGCTAAGAAGGACATCTGCTCATGACTTTAATATATTTAGGATTTTGAGGTTCAGTAGTTTAGTAGTTTTAGTAAAACTACTACTAAAATACATTAATATTGATGTTACCTCATTTGGTAAATGAAACATCAGCAAAAAAGAACCCCACCAAGCTCAAAAAAGCAACAAGGATCCCACAGTTCAAACCTTCAGCTAAAATATTCTCTTTTATCGGTATTAAAATATCTGAAGTTGACTGATGAGTCTATGTCAGGATCTTAAGAATTTTGTATTTTGAAGGCCAAAATCTCTTATAAGTTAAAGTTATTGGGGAATTTTCTGTTATAGAGAAGGCTGTTCGTAAAATAGGTCTGTGAACAAATTCATGGATACCTATAAATGTACAAATGCATTCTCTTAAATTTAAATTGTTTGATTTTGATATTTTTGCTTTTGTGAATTGCAAGTTTCTTTTTAGAACATTTGATTGCTCCTATTGGCTTTTGAGGCCTTCTGGACTCCGTTCTTCTGATTAGTAGTGATTTAAACAGAGCTGTTAATCAGTGTAATCAATGACAGAATATCTTTTATTTAAACAAAAAACAAACAAAAAAGAAACATGAGAAGAAAGACAAACAGAGAAATTCTATAAGAATATAGGAATATTGATGTGGGTTTAACATATTTTCTGAGTATAAGGTGCACCAAAGTTTTGAAGAGGCAAATTAAAAAAAAAAGTTTTTGCACTCTGCAAACCTCCCAAAAATGGCACATTTTTCGCGAAAGCAGGCCCGTTTTTGTAAAAACAAAAAAGGGGGGGGGACATGGATAGCTTTTAGGAGGCTTATAGAGTGCTCCTGGGGGCTGGGGGGGCAAAATTGAGCAAAAAACTGAGTGGTTTTTGCTCATTTCTGCCCTCCCCAGCCCCCAGAAGCTCTCTGAAAACCTCCAAAAAGCTATGCACAGACATTTTGGTGAAGAAGGCGGGATTTTGGGAAGCAAAAAATGCTGTATTCATTGTATAAGATGCACTCAGATTTTCAGCCTCTTTTTTTTAAGGGAAAAGTTGTGTCTTATAGTCCAAAAAATACAGTAGGTTAAAGACTTAGGAGAAAGTATGATTTTGAAGAGGAAATTGGAGGAAGAATAAATCTACACTATTTTCACACTTCTGGGAGCACATAATAGGGTGGGAGATGTTAGATGAGGAGGAGGGGCTGGGCATCTCCTTTTGTTAGATTCATCTTTGCAGTTCTTGGTCTAGAAATAGAATGTGACTGGAATACATTGTTTTTCTGTTTCTTTTTAACAGCCTGATTCGGATTCTACCAAACATTCAACTCCTTCCAACAGCTCTAACCCAAGCAGTCCCCCAAGTCCCAATTCTCCCCATAGGAATCAGCTGACACTAGATGGATTAGACCAATCAACCTGTGATGCATAACACTGCAGCTCTTTCCACTGTTCCTCCCATTTGGGATTGTCTGCTACGCCGTGGAGCATCAAAAGCAGGACATCTGTCTCCAACAACAGTGCCAAGACTGATGCTTAATTTTTAGCATTGCACAAAAGTAAATTCCTGTATCTAGATTGTAGATTTGAGGGCATAAAAAGGAGGCAAGAGATCTTTATTGCTATAGTAATTAAATTGTTTTTTTAATGTACACTCTTACACTTAAGGTGGATCCATTTCGGCACAGCTGTGATACTCTCATGACATACAGTAAAGGCTACTGATAAAATCTTCATACTTAAGCTGAAAAAAGAGAGATGCTGATAGTTTTTACTACTATACAGTACCAGGAATATTATTTTTCTATAGGATAATGTAATATCTCATTATCAGCAATCTCTTTTTAGAAAAAAATGCAGACCTTTGGGTATGAAGTAAAAGCAGCGTAGTTACATCCTTGGCTAAATATATTCTAAATATATTGTTTGTTTCTTTTTTCAAAATTTAGAAGGATGATAGGAAGTTGTAGGGCCATTTCCAGCTTCAGTAGAATAAAACAGAAAAGTGAAAACAGAAGTTCTAGATTGTGGCCTTTTAATTTACTTAGCCATTACATACGTTCTCCGCTGTATAAATGTCTTTCTACTGAAATTCTAGTCATGTACATAAAGGACATCAGAAATGTTTTATCCTTACCCTACTTTTTTAATCTGATTAGCTAGGACAGGGCTTTTTTTAAAAAAAACAACATACTGTTGGAAAACAGATTTTACTGTTTTTCTCGCAGTCCATCTTCTCAAATCTTTTTGTAATTTCTCTTGGATTTTTTTTTTCAGAGTAAAAGATAACACTACATTTGAAAAAGTTTTACTAGGCAAGCATTCTCTTGAGATTGCTCCCCGATGGCTGCTTGTATGAGGGGGTTGTGTAGTAATAAATCGCTTCTGATTTTTCTTGATAACCAAAGTGGAAGCATAGAAGGGTGTGTATATGAGGGTACCTCATCTCCCCCCCCACTTCCCTTGATTCATAATATCCTCACCTGCATGATGATCCCAACCCCATGATTGCTCATTAAAAGTACTGAATGTGTAGGGGAGGAAATGCACAGCACATTCCTGTATATTTTGCAGCAGTGACATATTACATGTATATTTAATCTCATGCTTCCATGTATTATACATTTAGTAACACTACCCACCTACCCATCCTAGTGATCATGTTTCATTTAAAAGCGTGTAATTAATTATATGGCTGGCATATTCAGTTTGTCATTGTCACACTAGTGTGCCTTCTGTGCCAATTTGATGACAGTTGGATGTCAATTGTTTTAAAATCTGGTTTCTATGGGCTAATACTATACCAATGGCTAACACTCTTTCCTGAGACACTGTATAGGACATGCACTTATCCCTAGTTTAAACCAAGTGGTTCTAGTCAACATTTAATTCTGTTTCATTAAGTGTTTGACAATATTTGCTCTTTCTCAGATTCTTGATTAATAAAGCTCAGTTTGAGCTGGACACTACTGCTTTGGGGTTTTTTTCTGGTTTTTACTCTTTTTTTAAATGTATGTCTCAAGTCTTTGTAATTATTGAATTGTGAGAACATTTTTGAACAATCTACTTGTCAATAAAGCAGAAGAGGGATGTTTTAAAAAGTTTCTGGTTGTCCTGTCATTAATTAGATAAATGTGCATAGTTCTTTGGAAAGCACTGTGGCGTGATTCTAATCTCTACAAAAATAGGGAAAAGAAATATCCTGCAGTTGGGGAGAGAGAGAAGAAACTCCTACATAGTCAGGTTTGTTGGTGCAAGAGCTTTTATCAACTTTTCTTCTTCAATGAGGAAAAAAACCTCAGCTACAGAAGCATCTGAAATGGGAAGAATGCTGTGTTCCCTTTACAGTTTGTCACAAAGGCAAACTTTGTTAATATTTTTTTCCTTTCTTCTTCTGGCATCTGTTCTAGTCTATGCTGAATTACCAACTTAATAAGATACATATGAATTTATTAGGAATAGCAGATGTTGGATGGGTTAATGTAACTAACCAGCTTAAAGATTGCCTGCTTTGACAAGTTTTTGCTTTGTTTTTCTCAAGGCAGATGGAAACTGTTTACTCATTTGAGAAAATTACCAGTCATTATAATATTGGCACAAGTTCTTTGCTTTACAAAAAATATCTTTGTAATGTACTGGATTTGTTATCTATTTTAATGGACTGCTTACTGTTTTTTCACTGATTTAACAGACTATACGTTAGCTGTATATTTTAAAAATGTACTAGGAGTAGAAGAAGAATTACTAGTAGAATTAAATTTAGATGTTAATTATTTTACATCTTGTGAAGAGGATTTCAGTCGAGCCCAGCTTATTTTAATAATAAATCCATTTGTTTTAGTGTGTTACAAGGTAGTTTGTTAAATGTGTTGTAAACATTCTAATGGCTTTTCTGGATTTTTGACAGTATGAATCACATAATTTAATTATACATAACTTGTTTCAGGTAAAACTGAAGTCATAGAATATTCCGCATAATTAAATACCTAGAATGAAATTGGGATGAAAGTGAGAATATGTGACACGGCAGAGCACTTGAATTAGCCAGTCTTGTTTTATCTGAGGATGCTGCTTAGCTGAGAAATGTCAATTTTCTGTACCATTTGGGAGCATAGAATAGCTGGAGGATGGATTGGAGCCAATAGTTGGTAACGTTATCTCTTAAAAACAATTATCACTGAAATGAGATATTCCAGCAAACTGATAATATATTTTCACCCAAAAACAACCAAATCAAGACATTTAAAAAAACCAAAGAAATGTTTACCTCTAATATAGAAATTCAACTCAAATATGTTCCTACAACATATTTGAGTTGAATTTACCAACCTTTAAAAAAATCCTGAGCAGCAATGAGAATAATGAAATAAAGCCAGATTTTTTTAAAAAATTTCAATATAAAATTTTTAACATATAAACTACAACACTGTGCATATTTTCTTGCCCACACTGGAAATGTCTTTTGCATAAGCAATGCCTTGATTCAGTGGTTCCCAAACTTGGCAACTTTAAGACTCGTGGACTTCAACTCCCAGAGTTCTCCAGCCAGCAGAGAATTCTGGGAGTTGAAGTCCACAAGTCTTAAAGTTGCCAAGTTTGGGAACCACTGCCTTGATTAATGGGTTGTTCATCAATCTCTAGTCATATGGCACTAGGGTTATACAATTTCTGTTAAGGGAAAAGGATATTGTGCACTAAAAAATAAAAACCTGAAGACCATGAGATCAAGATAGCAATGTTTCTGGAGTAGACTCTTTAAATTTGGTATTTTAAAAGAGGGAGACTTCATATATTTTAACCTTTGTTTTATTTCTAAAACATGTAGCCCAAACCTACCGTTTTCCTTCTAAATCTTAAAAGTGCATGTTTTTTTTAAGTATAGACACTATGGAAGCTTCAAAAATGTGCCCATACATGATCAAAGTAAATAAGCTTTATATTTATATGTAAGGACATAAGCGGTGCAGTAGCCTAGAGGTGATGATGCTTGCCAATCATTTGGAAGGTTTGAGAGTTCAGTCCTAGGCAAGAACAGATGTTTATCGGCGCAAAGAGAAAATATCTGCTGTGAACTCTCCACAGGCATCAGGAAGGGCATCCAGCTAATAAACACTCAGCTCCATTCAGTGGCCCTGACACCACCCTGAAACAAGGGATTATAGGGTCATAAAAAGAAAAAAAAGTTATATGTAGGGACATGTGAATGCTGTCAGTAACATCAAGTATTCAAATACTATAATTCAGTACACATATTATAGTACTAACCTATTAACTTTAGCACATGGGTTGCAAAGACCCCAGTATTCCAGTTCTACTTCCAAGACCCATTAACCTTATGAAGGCAGATTTATCCATTCTCATAATTTTCATTTCACAATTGATCTCACAACAAATATATATATATATGTGTGTGTGTGTGTATGTATGTATGTATGTATGTATGTATATGTATATATATATAAATAAAGTGTTTGGGGAAAAGTCACAAGTGATAATTCTTCAACTGTAACCCTGAGTTGCATATATACTACTGACATTTTCATTTTGAACAGAAACTCCAGTAAAACATTAAAAAGGTAAAAGTCTGCTTTAAGTCCAATAAGCATGACTCTTTGTGGCTTCATGGTCACACCTATAAATATTTTTATGACAGTTGTACAAAAGCAATTCATTGTCTTCTTTCAGAATTCTTTTTCAACTTCTCAGTAAACATAGACTTTAGCTATAAATTTAGAAAGAATCCTAAATTCTCTAATTGAGAAACTGGCTAAATGTTTCCTGTTCTGTCACCATTTTAAGTGGATTTCAAGTAAAATAATAAATTTAATGCCTGCATACATGCATCTTTCGAATGTAAGATCTTCGGTATGTTGCAGTTCAGATTTGGGGAGAAAAAAATGTATGTTTTGAAATATTTGTCTTATATAATATGCCAGAAATGATAGAAATTGGAAAAAATACCCCTGCATGTCCCAAAGATGGGTTTCAAAAGGCAACTGGACTTTCTTGATATTTTCCTTGAAAACATTTTGCTTCTCCAGCTGATGGCACAGGAGGGTCCAGTAGTGGGTTGTTATGTCTTTATCTGCCCAGAGACTGAGTCATAATTGAAGCCACACCTCCAGTCCTTTCTTACTTGGCTCCAGTTCCGACTCAGTCTTTGCCTGATAAAGATGGAAAAACCTTTAGCTTGTATTTTTTTTTTCAATAATTGGCTTCTAATTTACTCCTTAACATCTAAAATTAAACCTAAAAGAATTTCTGATACTTCTCTGACTCCTGCAGCCAGAATTGAGTGCCGTTAGGAGCATCAGGTATTGGGGCTCCGAAGGTGACGTCAGCGTTGGTTTTTAGTGGCATTGTTGGCAGTCCAACAGTTTGGGTTTAGGAGTGCCACTGTTCAGCAGCAGCTGTGCTGGACCGCAGACAGCACTGCGAATTGTGCCTGAGAGAACATCAGAGGTGAACGGCGCAGCAACTGTTTTGGCACTGAGGCTGAGGCTTGGGGAGTGGAGGAGAACACACCAGCACCAATTCTCCTCAGGTGGCCATAAAGTGGCGCAGCCTTCTTTTGAGGATGTTTTTCACCCTCCGGAAGCTGAAGCCTCCAGAGCGTAAAAAACTGGTCCTATAGGCAAACCGGAAATTCAGGAACAGACTTATGGTTTGTCCGTAGGGGCGGTTTTCGCCCTCTGGAGCCTTCAGGGGGCTTCCCTGTCTGGAGGGCAAAAATTGGCCCTACAGACAAACCAGAAGTCACTTCCTGTTTGCTCGTAGAGGCGGTTTTTGAATTCCAGCGCCTCCAGGGAAGCCTCCTGAAGGCTCTGGAGGGTGAAAAATGGACCTACAAGGAACCTGGAAGGTCCACTTCCGGTTTGTCTGTAGGCCCCGACAGCCCTCTAGAGCCTTCAGGAGGCTTCCCTGAAGGCTGCGGAGGGCAAAAACTGGCCCTATGGACAAACCAGAGGTGACTTCAGGAAAGCCTCCTGAAGGCTCCAGAGGGCAAAAACCGGCCCTACAAGCAAACCGGAAGTCACCATTCCCGAACTTCTGAGTTCCCGTAGGTCCATTTTTTGCCCTCCGGAGCCCTCTAGAGCACTGATGGCGAACTTTTTTTGGCTCCCGTGCCAAAAGTGGGGCGAGCACAGGGGGCTCGTGCACGGGCATGCTATACCCATAATGCTGTGTCTGTGACCCCCTGCGCGCATGCATGCGTGACCAGTGACCCCCCCTACTTTGGGTGTGATTTTTTTTACCCTCCCCAGGCTCCAGAGGTTTCTAGGAGCCTGGGGAGGGCAAAAACAGCTTCCCCCGTCCCCTGGATGGCCGCCAGAGGCCTCAGGAGCTTCCCTGAAGGCTCCAGAGGGCACAAAATGGACCTACGGGGAACTCAGAAGTTCGGGAATGGTGACTTCCAGTTTGTCCGTAGGGCCAGTTTTTGCCCTCCACAGTCTCCAGCACATAATTGCCCTTACATCCTTCTCCTCAGTCTTTAATAATGGGTTAACCCTCCTGCGCCATGCTGAGAAGCAACGTTCAGGTAGGACCAACATTCCTTCTCATCCAAGAAGCTTCTTCAGTTGAAGAACTGAATATTTTAATATCTAGGGGGCTGCCACAAAGAAGAGGGGCTAAATCTAGTTTACAAAGCACCTGAAGGCATGACAAGAAGCAATGGATGGAAACTAATCAGGGAAAGAAGCACCCAAGAACTAAGTAAAAATTTCCTGCCGGTGACAATAATAAACCAATGGAAAGGCTTACCTTCAGAAGTTGTGAGTGCTCCATCATAGGTGGCTTCTAAAAAGTGACTGGACCATCATTTGTTTAAAATGGTATAGGGCCTCCTGCTTGAGCAGTGGGTTGGATTAGAAAACCTCCAATGTCCCTTCCAACTGTTATTCTGTTATCTGTTAATTTCTATGTGATATATCCTGGAGACAATATAAATACTGTTTACCACATGTCCAAGACGAGACACTATGATATTTTGGGTGACACCATTGTTCACCAACAGCTGACAATATCCTTGAAATCATGCCCCATTCTTGCACAATTTTCAGAGGCTGCAGAAGCCATGTGAGAATGGGGTCTCACACAGTAT